ATAGCGAGTGTGACTAACAGCGTGTCAGTACCCGACAGCTGAGAGTCTAGAGTCGCCTTCTAAGTTTAATCTCACGTCCTCTTTATCCTCCTCCAGTAGCTCAGTCAGAGGAGATAGATTTGATGTGTCAACGTTACTTGAGTGTGGATGCTGACCATCTTGATTTCGGCATTGCATTCGGCAGGGTTGCAATTCTGCTGGGTGATGTTTCGTAACCGCGATAACGTGCGAACGTAATTTGATTACAGCAATCGACGTCTTAAGGTTGTGCTTACAACACACGTAAAATAGCAGCGTTTAATACGAGGGTTGCTACTTATATTTCTGGCCTAATAATGAAAAAACAATTATTTATGTTCGAAATTGATTTTATTGTTTTTTAAAATATTCCCCATGATGATCAATACACATTTGCATGCGTTTGAACCAATTTTCGAAGCACTTTTTTTACTTCGATTGAGGTAACTGCAAAACATGCGTTTTGAATGCATCAACCGCTCCTTCAAGTGTCGAAAATCGTTGACCACGTAATTTATTTTTGATGTGCTGGAATAAAAAAAATCATTCGGTGCCAAATCAGGGTTGTACGACGGATGACCCATCAATTCGATATTTTGGCCGGTTAAAAATTCCTTTGTTTGACCCGATGTGTGAGAGCTCGCATTGTGATGATGAAGAATGATTCGCCTCTTATTCTGCTTTTCTCGAATTACTCCTCGAATTTCTCCGATTACTTCTGGCAAACAAATGGTCGTGTACCATTCAGAATTGACCGTCCTACGGTGCTCTAACGCTACTGTCGCCACGTGGCCGGTAACGCCGAAGAAACAGACAACCATTTGCTTCGATGTGCTTCTTTCGCGAGCAACTTTGGTTGGATTTAACTCGAGTTGGAAGACTCATACAGTCGATTGCTGTTTTGTTTCGGTGTCATATGCATAGATCCATGATTCGTCACCTGTGTTGGTGTTATACATAGCCTTTGATGCACCTTGAACGTATTTTTTCAACATTTCCTCGCACCAATCAACACGAGTCTTTTTTTTAGCATTTGTCAGATTATGCGGCATCCAACGCGAACAAATTTTTTTTACAGACAAATGTTTATGCAATATCTTATTGATTCTTGTCATACTAATGCCCAAAGATGCGTCAATCTCACGGTATGTCACATGACAATCTTGCTTTATCAGTTCATGCACAGCATCGATATTTTCTGGCACAACAACCGATTTTGGACGACCTTCACAGAATTCGTCCTGGAGCGAACGTCGGCCACGATTGAATTCGTTATACCAGTTTGTTACAGTGCTGTAAGATGATGCTTTCTCGCTGTATAAAGAATTAATTTAATCGATGCACTCTTGTCTTGATAATTTACGTCGAATGTTATGAAAAATAATTGCACAAAAATGTTTACGAGGTAATTCCATTTTTTGCCCGACACGAATTTTTCAATTCACTGTAAACAACACAAACCACGTTCAAATGACAATGTTTTCTTATGTTCTTATATTTAACAATGTCAAGTTTCCAATGACAACGTCAGATGGCGCCCGGCAACACTTACTGCTACCAAGGCCAGAAATATAAATAGCTACTTACGTACACGGTCTTCTTACGAATCTAATCGGACCGTACGTCAAACTGCAAAAGAATTTGTGTAAGAAAAATTAAATCACATATCAATGTAATTGGCGAGAGATCAACTTTTAATGAGGATAAGAGTAGTTTTAACTTAGAAATATAATCTGGAAGAACCTTAACTAATATAGGAGTAAAGACAGTTGAAGCTACTGTCCGATCTTTATCTTCTACTACTCACAGCTATACTATTTTGGCAATTATATCTGCAGACGGATATTTACTTCCTCTTCTTTTTGGAATATTATAAGAATCTATAGGAACATTTGGGCCGCAAATAGAGCAAACATTTTTCAGACTAGTTAATATTTACATTGTAGCTTCAAAATCAGAGAAATTTACAAGTGAACATTTCAAAAACAAGTGAAAAAAATTAAAAATTGGTTCAAAAAGTTTACTTACGAAACACTGGACACAAAAGTCTATTACTGCTTGAATCATGAACAGGACTTTATCCGGAACAATTGGAAGAATTTATGTCAAACGATAAGCAAGTAAAGGTTTTAACAATACAAAAGAGAACAGCCGCTTTAATACAGACTTTACATGTATTTGATTTTGGAATTTGACCACCGGAGCCAGTCGAATCAATTAAATCACAGACTGCTCCGGATCCCGATCCCCAAGTCGAGAAGCCGAAACAGTGCGTTCGCCGCCTCTGCCGCGTGTTTTCCGCCTCCGTATTCGACCATTCTACTTTTCGGCAAGAACGAGGTTGTGCGATTGTAGTCTCTCCCGTGGAAGTCGCGGGCGCCGTGTCCAACACCCCGGAACAGTGCGTTCGCTGTCTCCACCGGGATTTCCCGGTCAAATCGCCCGCCGAACGATCGAATCGGAGATCATGACGAGTCCAGGTGGTGTTTTCGCCGTCTCCGCCGAGTACTCTCGGCCTCGCCACTTTGATTCACGGACCAGGGCACCGAACACTGGGGCAAGCGTGTGCCCCGCGTGTTGCGTGAACGATGTTGCCGTCGGCCCAGCCGAACGTCGAGGTGTGCGATACTGCGTACGCCCAGCCCGTGACACGATTACCGCCGGATTAGCGAGCCAATCTCTCCGCCAGATACCGCACCAGACGGTCCAACGACTAGCCGACGCGATGCAGCGACGCTGCGCTCGCTCTTTGCCGACGCGTTAGTTTGACTCGCCGCCGTCGGGCAAACCAAAGGCCGAGGTGTACGATATTGTGTTCACTTGGCCCGTGGTCCGATTTGCATGAGAGCAGCGAAGTGCTTGTCACCGTCGGGCAAACCGAGCACCATGGTGTGCGATACCGCGTACGCCTGGCCCTTGACTCGATTGCCACGAGATCGGCGGATTACTTGTCACCGTTGGGCAAGCCAAACGCCGAGGGGCGCACTGCCGCGTGCACCCTGCTCGTGACTCGTTCTCTGCATACCAATAAAAAGATAGATCAAATTGATCTCGCCACTGTATACCGTGCTAGATGGTTCAACGGCCGACTGACGCATGAGCCCATGTGTAAACACCGCGTCCATTCCCCGCTTCCACGCTGGTCGCTTCGTCGCCGTCTAGCGAGCCGTGTGTACATTGCCTCGTACATACGGCAATTGTTTTGTTTTTTCGTAAACTGACGCACCACAACCTCGGATCTAGACCGAAACATATTTCCACGAAACACGGGCCGATATATAAACACTGCATCGATCCGCATCTATTTTATTGTCATCTTCCATATTCATTATACACGTAAAACACCGGGCCGCCAGCCCAGTAAGAGGCGCTCTTAATCACGCCACAGAACTGTACACTAATATCCGGACACTTTATCCGCCGGATCGTAGCGAATAAAAGAGCTAGAATATTTTGAGCCACAAATTCAGATTACTCTCTCTCCTACCAACGACACTCCTGACAATTCGAACCTCCTGGCCGCCTCCTGACGCTCGAAAATGGACCAAGCGAAAGCGAATAGTCAGTTCACCGAAACCGAAACGAAACCGGACCATCACAAACTGCGCGGTTTTATATCCCACTTCTGGAGAATCTACGCGGTATGTAAACGTAATGCGCGCTATCGTTGGGAAAGATACAATTTCGAAATCGATATTCGTCCAGAGTGGATTGTTTCAGGTCAAGCAGTAGATATCCATGCGGAAGCGAAGTAACGTCGTGATAGGCTTCTTCTAAAAACTTTGGATCGGAAGGATAAACTTAACGTGCCAGATGTCGAATCTATGCACGATCACGCGGGTCTTTAAACATCAGGATATAATTTGCGTTGAGATATGTCACATTGTCCGCCTTGATGAAAAAGATTTTGCGATATGAGTATAACACTGAGGTTCTTGTGGTGACTGCCCTTCGTCAATAAATCTACGATCACATCGCACGACGACGATTCTCTCATAACATCACAGATTATTATCAATTTCGCGGAATAAGGATCACTCTAATAATCCTCGATTCTTGGAAAGCCTTCTCGAAAATCGATCGCACCGCCGCCTACTGTTTTACCAACCCAGTCGAATAGACGTTTCCTAGAACCTATTATCTCGTACTGCAGTTGTCGGTACGACTCCTGCCACTCCGTGTAATAAAACAGGATTCTATCGAAATACGTGTCGACCAACTCGGTCAAATTACGTAGAAGTCTTTACGAAAATCGTTTCTCCACATTCCATGAGACTGCAAACGATCGATGTCCAGCGCATGTGCATTTCGCAAAATGTACAATTTTGACTCTATGCATAGCTTCATAAATAAAAAATAAATTCGACGCGTTTTGAATCACGGGGGTGAGCTTATAAAGAGGCTGATGCTTGCGCCGGCGTACATGCGCGGGATGCGCCGCGGTTGACGAGCTGCTCCGCGCGGCGCGCTTGCACCCGCAGCAAGGACAGCTTATTCTCTAGTACTGAGGGGGTCAGGTCAGTTCCTCGACCCTTCTGCATTAAACGGGACGTGCGGGTGCAAGCTCATCGCCCCGCGCTGGTACAAGCTCATTGAACGCGTGGATACTATTTCGTTATTCGTGAGTTGATCCAGCAAAAATGAAATAAATTTTTTTATCACTACGCGAATCAGATTGAGTTGTCGTTTGTTATCTTTTTCGCTTCGGGACGCATGTGCTCGTGATAGATATTAGCTATGGACATTTATAACTCTTTGTCTCTTGTGGTCAAAGTTATAGACCAAAGAAATTATAATCAACATATTGCGTGAACGATATCATACATAAAAAAACATTTTTATTACCATGGAGAAAAATGAGGGAAGATCATAGGTATGTAGGATAAGGTTTCCAATTTTTTTTTTTTCAAAATCATGCACCACAGATGAAGTTTTTATCTAATATATTTTTTACAGAATTTGTTAATATTTGCTTCTTACACTGGTAATAATGTGTTTGCAGAGAACAAACTTTTCGATAAAATAAGAATATATTTTTTCCAAAGATTTCCTGTCAAATATAATTACATTTTATATATGACATCTTACATTAAATACAGTTATAGGGTTGCCCGCAAAGTAATTGCCGATGGCTCCAATAGATGGCTTTAAACGTCTGTTTGAATGTCTTCTGTCAATGTTATGATTTTTTTTTTGACGTTTGTAAGCTGTCACTCTTAGTTGACTTTAGAAGCAAATTACACGTGTTTCTGTTAAAAATTGTTAGTTTGGCGTCAGTTTCAGTATGGAGTCCAATAACGAGCATTTTCGTCATATTTTACTTTTTTATTTCCGCAAAGGAAAAAACGCAGCGCAGGCTGCTAAAAAGTTACGTGACGTATATGGCGAGGAAGCCTTAAAAGAAAGACAGTGCCGCAATTGGTTTGATAAGTTCCGTTCTGGAGATTTTTTACTCAAAGATGAGCAACGTTCAGATCGGCCATTGCAAGCTGATGATGACCAAATCAAAGCCATAATCGAGTTGGATCGTCATATATCTGAGCGGGAGATTGGAGAGAAGTTGAAAATACCAAAATCAACAATCCACGATCATATAAAACGTCTTGGATTCGTTAAAAAGCTTGATATTTGGGTACCACATGAATTGAAAAAATTCATTTAACAAAGCGTATCAATGCTTGCGATTCTCATCTCAAACGCAATGAATTCGTTCCTTTTTTGAATCGAATAATTACTGGTGATGAAAAATGGATTGTTTACGATAATATTAAGCAAAAACGTTCATGATCCAAACGTGGTGAGCCACCACAAACCACCTCGAAAACTGATATTTACCAATAGAAGATTTTGCTATCAATTTGGTGGGATTAGAAGGGTGTGATATTTTTTGAGCTCCTTCCAAAGAACCGAACCATTAATACAGATGTCTACTGTCAGCAACTGGACAAACTGAATGCAGCGATTAAAGAAAAAAGGCCAGAATTAGTCAATCGTAAGGGCGTCATTTTCCACCATAACAACGTTAGGCCACACACATCTTTGGTCACTCGCCAAAAATTAATGGAGCTTGGTTGGGAATTGATGTTACATCCACCATATAGCCCTGACATTGCGCCGTCAGATTACTATTTATTTCGATCCTTGCAGAACTACTTGGATGGTAAANATCCAAACGTGGTGAGCCACCACAAACCACCTCGAAAACTGATATTTACCAATAGAAGATTTTGCTATCAATTTGGTGGGATTAGAAGGGTGTGATATTTTTTGAGCTCCTTCCAAAGAACCGAACCATTAATACAGATGTCTACTGTCAGCAACTGGACAAACTGAATGCAGCGATTAAAGAAAAAAGGCCAGAATTAGTCAATCGTAAGGGCGTCATTTTCCACCATAACAACGTTAGGCCACACACATCTTTGGTCACTCGCCAAAAATTAATGGAGCTTGGTTGGGAATTGATGTTACATCCACCATATAGCCCTGACATTGCGCCGTCAGATTACTATTTATTTCGATCCTTGCAGAACTACTTGGATGGTAAAACATTTAAGGATGATGAAGCTGTGAAATCGCACTTGGATCAATTTTTGCCGATAAAAACCAGAAGTTCTACTAGCGTGGAATTATGAAGTTGCCAGAAAGATAGCAAAAGGTCATCGAACAAAATGGAAAATATGTCAGTGATTAAAGTTCATTCCATGCACAAAAAAATTGTATTTTATTTCTATGAAAAAATCGGCAATTACTTTTCGGGCAACCCAATATTTCGCGCGTTGAAAGATGAGAAAAAATTGATGCGTAAATGAAAGAAATATTAAGCTATTCGTGTGATGCTATGTAGCCGTAGGGTGCGGAGTAGCCGTCGCTGTTAAATTTGCGTTTCAACAGCACAGGTGCGCACGACTTCCCTTCGTCTCGCGTCACTATCTATTAAACGCGTTTAATCGCTTTAAAATGCAGCATGATTTTCTTCGCAAACGAATTCGCTACCTCCTCATTCGCCTTCTCCTCTTCTCCCTGTTTTTTCTTAGATAATAACAATTTTTTAATACTATGAAAATTCACTTTCCTCGAATTTTCAAAGTTTAGGGCTTTCCCTTCACTTAACAGACTTCATGCGGGTCACTGTTCGCAGTACGCATAACGTATGCATAAAAGTTTGGTCCGCCAGATACAAATAACTCGATGTAGCTACCGTTGCCGTAAATCCCGAGTTCATTTGTCATATTGCATAAAAAATTATCTGTACGCGGCTCGTACTCATTAGAGTTATCGGATGATAAGTAAATACAGGAATAGGTGTTATAATGTAGCACATGTCGGTCTAACTTTTCTAAATTTGAATATAATTTTAAACTAGCCTGTGCCACTGTAAAAACAACTATAGCAACGTTAGTTAACGACAAAGACAGAGCAGCCTTTTCTCTCAACCGCCATGAAACATACGAAATCTGTTCAAAAAATATCGCAAATTTTGCGTTTTTTCAAAAATTATTTATTTATTCATGAATATCTATTTGTCTCCTTCAAAGTAATCCCCATCAGATATTATATACTTGTGCCAACGCTTTTTCCAATCTTCGAAGCACTACAAAAAATCATTTTTTGTGATCTTGTTCAGCTCCTTCTTCGATGCCGTCTNCGAGCAAGGAAGACAGACACAATAACAATGAAGTTAAAGGCCTTAGAATACACAATATGTCAACGAGAACAAAAAAAAACATTTATTGAACACGGAACAATTGTTAGCAAAAAAAGAAAAGAGAAGAACACGAAAGGAAATTATAAATTTCTCGACGCGATAGTTTGGGGGTAACGTCGTCCGAGCAGTCGTTCTCATCTGAGAATTTAAATAAATTCGTAATCGCTAACGTCGAGAAAGCAAACAATATCAGAAGCGTGAATTACTCTAAGGAGGCAAAATCAATTTCAAAGAGCGCCATAACGACGGTCGTTCTTATGCTAATACGAGAATAGTAATAATTTCTTTTCGCACGCGACAATACAAGATGTGCGTGATAATACAATCTTTTTTACTCGCACGCCCCGACAAGGTTGACGACTGGCCTACCGTCGGACGCGAGTATTTAAACGCTAATGATTTTGAGCGCAAATCTTGACCCATTCAAAATCTACTACATCTTTAACGTACGTGGCGCCAAACGATAAGACGCGAGAACGCTAATACGGAAGTATACAAGGACGAAAACGAAACACTACACGAGGATGCGAAAGACACCTAATACGCGACTAATCGCGAGAATCTAAAGTTCTTGACTGGCGAGTAAACGACTCAAATCGTATGCGACGATATTTCGCCGTTCGCAACTCCCTGACTTGCGAATTGGAACCCAAAATTCCTAACGTCGTTTATCCGCGACCAGTGCGTTGAATACGTTCGAGATAAAAGTTGAAATTTGTCGTAAAAAAGACGTGGAAAATACGCAAAAAATATGTCGAGTACCTGCGATCAGAGCGTTAGGTAAACGCGAAAAAGAATGCCAAAAGATGCGATACGTAGGCTACCGAATTTTACAGTCGGAGACCCGCTATCTGCTGTTCCGTCATGGGATTCGTGAAGCGCATTCTACGACGCAATACCAACGCGAAAAAGACGCTGCAAAAATGTGAAAAAGGATTTAAAGTGACGAACACGAACGTAAAAGAACTCTAAACATACACGAAATATACGCTACATAATCGCAAAAGAAACGTTAAAGGGACGCAAAATAGACGCTGCATAAACGCGATAGTAATGCGAAAAAGACGCGAAATAAAGGATACATCCATGTTACGTGATGACTGAATTCTACCGCCGGATATACGCGATTCAATAGTTTCGCCGCGCGATGATAACAATACGATAAGGACTGTACAAATTCGTCTCGACGTTCGATCTCTCAGGGATCTATGTTTACGCGCGTTCTCAACCTTCCCTACGCCTACGATAGCGCAGCCACGAAGTTCCGTTGTCCGTCGGATTCCAATCACTTGACACATCCAACGCGACAGAATTAACAATATATTAAAGTGTCGAGACGACTGACATTGAACAACGTAATTAGGCTATAACGCAAGTTCGTGGCTTTAATGTAGAAAAGGGCAATCTCGCCTAGTGGCTCTATCTTTCCTTAAATCGCCTCTGGCGACACCTTGTATCCAGTATCGGAAGCGGCAGCTCTGGACACCGAGAATCATAAGCGTGGTGGTCGTGGCGACGGTCGAGATGCAAAGGGCACACACAAGATCATTGTTCGATCCTGTATTGATCGCGATCTCCCCTTCTTACGTAATACGCGTAAAAGTGTAGACAAATTAGCGCGCGATAAAACCTTGCACCTCGCGACGCTTGCGAAACGCTATCGGGCGAGTAGCATACATTATCGTACGCTATGAAATTGTCCTTTTTCATCAGGGCATTTTTTCTCGAGGACCTTTTGTCTTCTGGGTCTTCGGCGATGTCCATCAAAGTATCTTTCCTCGTCTTTCCTTGCCTTTCGGACACCGGCTTGCACGCACGTACTTTTTCATGGGCAGCAGATGACGCGCTCGGTGATACTCCCACGTGGCCAATTAGCGTGCTGCTTTGCGCTCACGAGCGTGCGCCGGATTCGTTACTTCCTACCGGGCGTCATGGCCTAGCCGAATTCTGTCCCTGCCTTGGCGGCAGTCCTCGACATAGTTCACTTATAGCTTTCGCTCTCCGTAGCTCCGGTGAAGCACCAAATATAAAAATTAAGTCTTAAAATTTAATCAGCATATGATAAGTCGGCTCTTGCCCTTGAGATCGGTAGGCGACGCTTTTTGTGTCCCCGTCCATAGCTAATATTTTTACTTTTGACAAGAGGGAGGGTAGATTACATCTAAAACATTTTATTTTTTTTATAAAAATAAATTAGAACTTTGAATATTTAAAACATATTTCGAAAAATCAAAGTTTTCTTACCATTTTTTTCCAAAAAAATTTCGTCATGGTAGTCGTACTGGTCAGCATTATTTTCAACGCTCCCTTTGCTATCAACATTGCTGTTAACGTCTTCGTGTTGTTGTCCATAGNCTGATGGTCTTGCTCGTCAGCATTATTTTCAACGCGCCCTTTGCTATCAACATTGCTGTTAACGTTTTCGTGTTGTTGTCCATAGTTATCGTTAACAAAGTTAACCTCGAAATATTCAGGTTGGTCGTTGCTACCAGCAAGGATGTTGTCATTATCGTCATTATCATTAACGTCATCATTGACGTCGTTATCATTGTCGTCTTCGCCGTCTTCGTCGTCTTTACCAACATCGTTGTCGTCATCGTCGTCGTCGTGCTCGTCGTCGACGTCGACGTTGTTGTCTTCATCGGTGTCATTGGCATCGTGTTCTTTCTCTCTAGCAATATCTTTACCGTCGAAATTCATATATTCGACGCCTTCAATAATTATCACCGAGAAATTACTCACACTGTCATCGTGATTGTCGATGTAGATGATTTAAGAGTCGTTGATGATGAATTATGAGTTCTCAATTCTGTATTCATTCCTAAAATTTAATTTAATGTTATAAAACCGGGAATGATCTAGTTGGATAAATCTAACATTTCTTTCTTTTTCTTTCTACTTACTCGAAACTGTTTGGGACGGTGAAGCCGCTTCTTCAGCGTGACGTTTACGGTCACGCGGATGTGGTTCAAACAAGTGCACATCGAAAGAATTTTACTGATTAAAGTTGAACTAACGAAAAATATCAATTTTTTTAGATTCAACCGTATTATATGAAGTTTTAGTTTTTAATATAAAATAATTATTTATTTTCATTTACCTAATAGAAGTGAATACATTTCCGTCCACCAGGTTCCACACATCCTCCACATCTTCTCCGAAATCTTATCTAATTATAATGATTTCTTTCACAATGTCCACCAATTTGTAATCGCATATAAATTTACCACAGCTGAGCAGTAAAGCCAGCAGCTTAGTGCTCCAGTTATAAGCAAATTTATAAAATAAATTATAATTTTCTGCTTCGTTACACAAAATACGGTATAAATATTCTTCGGATTGAATATTAAGATTTGCGTAGGAACAGATGATGCACTCACGCACTAAATTCCTAATTAGCGACATGACTTCGTGTTATGCACGACTGAGGTATCAAATACGAATGCAATATCTTCGAAAACTGATTTAAAACGAGAAACACTTTTCACACGCTTTTATATTCTGTCAAAACCATATTCCCTTAAACGAAATATTCTTAACCGGTGAAATGCATGCGTATCTAAAATGTGCATCAGCTATGACCTCATGAAACATAACTCAAATATAAACTTAGATGACTGAAAAAAATTTACTGCAAGGTAAAATTACAGTTTTGAAAATATTTTGGTTATGTGTGTCTAAAAATTGAGAATAATAGGATCGATCCAACCAAAATACATAAGTTTATAGATATGGCATACATGATATTGCAATGAAAATTATGCGTTTTTACACACTGAGAACTCTGGAAAATTCTATAAATATTCTTGATAGAAAACTCAATGGATTATAAATTAAAATTTTCGATATGCCTGCGCATCCCACACCTCACTACATTTTCTATCGTTCAAGAAAGTATAAAATATGCTGGCCATTATAACTAAAGTCAAACGGACAGTAACTCTCCACTTAACCAATTCGATACTACTTAATATTGACGGTTCTCGTGAGTTTTTAAATTATTCATTAAGAACAAATATTCGTGAAAAATCTATAATGGCTAGTAATAGTGCAAAGCAAAAAAAGACGGAGTGCACCAGCAACGATATTCTTCAATTTGTACCAGGTGTAGAAGTTTGAAACCGAAATTATTTTGTAAAAATTACACGTCTGTTGTTTGAAAATGATAAAAAATATTTTATTCAAAATAAGATCCATTGCTATTTATACATTTTCCCCAACTTTACAGCAGTTTATAAATGCCACGCCAAAAAAACATTTCTTCTTTTGAAGCGAACCAGCTATTATGCCATTTTCGTACATTTTTATATGAATTGAAGCGTTGTTCAGAAAGAGCGTGTCCAATTGATGCGATTAGATGATAATCGGACGGAGCCAAGTCTGGAGAATAAGACGCATGAGTTAGTATTTCCCAACTGAACGCCTCGATCGTTTCCCTGACCCGTTTTGCTGTGTGTGATGGGGCATTATCATGGAGCAAAATGACTTTGTGTTGCCTTTCTCCATATTCCGGTCGTTTTTTACGCAATGCTCGATTTAAATCGATCATTTGCTGTTGGTAGCGATCAGTGTTAACGGTTTCACCAGGTTTTAGCAGCTCATAATAGATTACACCCTTCTGATCCCACCAAACACAGAGCATTGTCTTCTTTCCAAAGCGATTTGGTCTTGCAGTGGATGTCGATGGTTCGCCTGGATTCACCCATGATTTCTGACTGTTAGGATTCTCAAAATATATCCATTTTTCATCACCTGTCATGATACGATGGACTTTCTTTTGTATATGTCAAGCAGCATTTCACAAGTGGTTTTTCGATTGTCTTGCTGTCTTTCATTCAGTTCATGCGGAACCCATTTTCCCACTTTCTGAATCTTTCCCATGGCTTTCAAACGAATTGAGACAGCTTTCTACGTCACATTCATTTGATCCGCGAGTTCTTCTTGAATTTGAGTATCATTTTCATCCAATAAGGCTTGCAATTCGTTGTCGAACTTTTTCGGTGGTTTCGCACGCTCTTTGTTTTTCACTTAAAAATCACCACTTTTGAATTTTTTGAACCACTCGAAACAATGTGTTTTACCAAGAGCATGTTCACCGTAAGCTTCGACAAGCATTCGATGCGATTCTGCAGCAGTTTTCTTCAAATGATAACAAAATACCAATGCTGTCCGCAAATCGTAGTTCGTAGGCGCAAAACTCGACATGTTTAAAGTTATATAAAAATATACCGGTGTATGGAACTTGGGTTGTGATGTGTTGAAAATCTTCGTTAGCTATTAGAGGGATATGATGGCGCTGCAGAAGCGGTCTTACTTTCCCTAAACTGATGGCTAGCACCATCTATAGAGAAATTCCGGTTTCATACTTCTACACCTGGTATATGTACATTTAAATGGCCATTCCAAAACTATGGTTCAAAGGAGGGTGTGATTTACTAAATGTGGAGTTTAAAAGGTTACAAAAGATAAATTTTTCTTTTGAAGAACCCATTTGCCAGTTTTGTAACCAAAATCCTACATATTTCAAGTGTTCATTTGATATCTGCAATAAATCTCTTTGTTACGATTTTTTTACGAACAATATCATTACCACTCCTTTTTTTCATTTTGCTTCCTCTTCCCTATTCACTTATATTTTCAGTTTTGAAATGAAATGAAAAACACGATTTAAGTTTAACTAAATACCATAACTTACAACTTAGAAGATCTTTCATTAAATGGCACACGCACGCACGCACGCACGCACGCACGCACGCATACGGGAGAGAGAGTTTGGAGTCACTAAATAAGCTCAAGTCGGAAGAGCGGTGAGTAGTTGAGCAATGTATGTCCCAAACCAGGTGGCGCCGGGCGGGGTGCGGGGAACGGGGAAGAACTAATCTTCCCCCTCCCCGCACCCCGCCCGGCGACCGGATTCAGTTTCGCTTCGCGAGATGTCTTCCGTGTCGCTCTGTCCCGCTCCCCGCACCCTGCCCGGGTTCAGTTTCGCTCTGCGAGATGTCTTCCGTGTCGCTCCGTGACACAAACGCGCGCGTCCGATGACGCGCGCATCGTATCCGTGACTGAGGAGAAAATAACGGTGAGCCGGTGGTTTATCCGCGGGATGCGGATGACGCCGCGCGCGATATATCGACGATGATATATTTCATATCCGCGGGATATGCGATATGTGAAAGAAAAAAGTTTTTGTTGGGAACAGTGCGTATTAAATAAAAAGGAAATTGTTTTTCCACAGGATGGATGGTTTCGTGTATATAACGATCGATGTGAGTGTTTTTTGCGGGAAAAATGTTTCCTGTTTGCGAGAGAGAGAGAGAGAGAGAGAGAGAGAGAGAGAGAGAGAATAGATAATCTGTTTCTGTTTTCCGGTAAAGGGGGTATATATATTCTTATTTTTTCAGTCGGAGTGAATAGAATTATCGCAAGTATCGTTTTCGGATTGACAAGCATAATATTTTGTTGTTTTTTTTTCTCCACGGAATGTGGACTGAGGGAGTGGTGACACGAGTGAGATAAATAGAGAAAAAACGATGGAGAGTAGCGAGTCGATCGAATTGTCGCGTAACAAATATACGAGTATGAAGAAGAGTATTGATACGCAGCGATCCGTCGTTACTCAGGAACAGCAGCAACGAGCCGATGTTAAGAGAGTATTGCGATCGATCGAGTTTGACGATGACGATGACAATGTAAAGGAAGATTATACAAAAGAAAGGAAGAGAAAGAAAGAAAGGAAGGATGATGTAATAGTGACGATCAATGATGATGATAATGAAGATCCTGATAAAAATAACGAAGAGTTGGTGGAAGAAGAGAAGGAAGAGGACGAGGAAGTAATGCCGTTTCCTTTCACTCCTCTTGATTTGTTACGCGAATTATGGTCGCCGGAAATCACACCGTTGGGTAATATTCGATTGATGACGGCCGCCGTGTGCAGCAGACAGTCGAAAATTAACGCTGTTCAAGACATTGTGAATGCAGATCAATGTAGAAACGAAGCGGCCACTTTGTGCGACGTGTTGGTGGATCTGCACGAATTGTGGCTGTCTAGCGGACCTTCGCGTAGCGCTCCTTGTAGCGTCGATGACATGATTAAGATTATACGTGAGAATACGCGAAATTTGTATTTGTCTTCTTTCGTTAACGGGATTCTCTCGGAGGAGGGTTTGTATTTGTCTTCTTTCGTTAACGGGATTCTCTCGGAGGAGGATTTCTACGATTGGATTCATTATTACGAGGATTATGTGTCGAATCTAAAGGAGACCGCTGCTGCTAATCGAGTAGCGTCTGTCGATAATAATAATGTTATTACGCAGGTCCCGGTGATAACGAATAAGAGAGTTGTCGAGGAAAAAAAGCGGGAAGCAATGGAGGTCGTTGAAGGGGGAGGAGGAAGAGAAAGTGGTGGATTGGACGCAATGTTTGACGATTGTCGCGAGATCACGCGCGATTGCGTGCAATAATATATCGTGAAGGTGGAGAATCGACGCGTTCTCACGGTGAAATCACCGGGCGAGAGGGGCACCGAGCTTGTTCGTCTGCAAATTTACGATACCAAAGATATTTTGGACGGGAGCCTTGCACTTGGTGAAAGTATGCGAAAATAAGANTACCAAAGATATTTTGGACGGGAGCCTTGCACTTGGTGAAAGTATGCGAAAATAAGAACTCAATTTCTAAGTTAGAGCAGCGAACATAAG